TACCTCTTGGAAAAACCGCTGGAAGAGGCGGGGCCTGAGCCCAGGGGGTCACCTCGCCCGCAGGTCTCTCCTTTGCCTAGGGGCGGAGGCCTGAGCCAACTTTGCTGCTGATGGGGCCGAGCGGGCAGAAGGGGCTGGGGGCCGCAGCACGGGACGCCCCGGGAGCCAGTGCCTGTGGCCAGTGCATTTAGCAGTCCTGGGGTGCTCCAGGAAGGGAGTGACAGGAGGGTCTCGAAACCCACTTTCTGTTGGGCAGAACCAACCAGGAGGCGTTGGGGCTTGGAAGGCTTGGCCATGGGAAGAGCAGCGGAGAACTTAGAAGCTGGCTAGGCCCGGGGCCAGGGACGTCCAAGGGCGTCCGGCTGGCCAGGGCCGTGGCCCACGGGGAGCGAGGCAGGGGGGGACAACAGCAGGCTGGCTTGTCCGCTCCGCGGGGATGCACTCGAGGTGGAGCACAGCCCCTGGGCGTCAGCCTGGCCTTGGGATGGACGCCCAGCACGGCCACAGTGCCCTGTGTCCCCTTGGTCACCGCTGCAGTGGGGGAGCCCAGGGTGGGCCACCTGGCCGGAGCTCTCGTGCCTCAGTTGCCCTTTCTGCCAAGTGGGGCGTGAGCCGGGTTTTCAGGGCTGGCGGTCAGGAGCCCGCCCAAGCCCCCAGCAGTGCCCTGAAGTGGTGGCACGTGTGACCGCCGAGGAGGCAGAGAACCTGAGGCCCGGGCTGGCCTGTGGGCCAAAGAAAGGTGCTGTCTTCTCCGCTGCTCTGCGGTGGGTACCGGGGGTTTCGTCAGGGTGGGGGGCAGAGGGGAGCCCAGTGCAGCTTTAGGTCTCTAAGCTCACGTCCTTAAATCTTAGTTAAATTTAGGGGGACACGGGAGGAGAAGGGGCGGGCCGAGGGGTGCTCCGAGCCTCTGGGCTCCTCGTGTGGAGCATGAGGGGCCTAGGGGTGGGCGACTTGGAGGCCTGCAGTCCAGGAGAGGTGGGGCGCCTCCTCAGTGCACCCCCCTCAGCCCTGCCACCCCGTGCAGCCTGCCGTCTGCTCAGGCCAGTGACGTCGTGTCTCGGGGCCACGGGGCCGTGGCAGGAGTCCAGACCCCTCACCTGCAGAAGGGGTGCGGATGAGCACATGGGGACAGTGGCTGGGGCAGCTAGTGTGGGTGGCCGCTCCTACCTCATCGCTGAGCCAGAGGCAGCGGTGGGCCCGCCCTCCCCAGCAGCGTGGTCCGCAGCCCCCAGGAACCTCACACAGAGGCCGGGCGTGTCCAGCACTGTGTCCTCAGGACCTTTCCCTGCGCATAGGCCAGGGGGTCGGCATGTGGCTGTCCTCCGGAGCTGCCCCGCCCCACTTCCAGTCTGCATGACGGGGGCGGACGAGTGTGCCACTGTGCAGGCCCCTTCCCCGCCCCGCCTATCCGTGGAGGGAGGCTGGCGAGGTGGCCTCAGGGGCTTCGACCTCACAGCGGGGTCCTGCCCAAGGCCACAGTCATTCGAATCCAGGCCGAGCTCTGTCCTAAGTCCTACTTGGTGTCCCAGCTCCAGATGTGGCAAGACCTCCAGGGCTGGGGACTCAGGAGGAGCACTGAGCCTGGAGGGGGGTCACGTTCCGGCTTCCCAGCCCCCACCTTCTCCACTGTTCAGGGTGTCCACCAGCTGGTCAGCCCCCAGGACCACCCTGGAAGCAGAGATATCTCCGGGCTCCCAGGTTCCAATAAAGTCTGTGGAGAGCCAGGGAAGGGGCTGCATGGAGCCTAGAGAGACATTCGGTCACCCGGAGCAGGTAAACTGAGGCAGGAGGGCTGGTGGAAATGAGATGAAACAAATGGGCAGAAGAGGAGGTGAGTGTGGCTGTGGGCCAACCTCAGAGAAAATTTGAGTAAGTTCAGGCTTGCGGGGTCCCTCAGGAAGGGAGCCCTCCCCCCGCTTCTGCGGGTCCTCCCACACATCCTGGGGATACAGAGGTGCTACGCTCAGTGCCCGACGCTGTAGTGTCCCATCTTTGTCTTAAATTCTCTACAGTGAGCCGGTACCCTTTTCGCAATCAGATAAATGAATAAGATTTTTAGAAAAACCAATTGATAAATGTTTTAGGGAAAACACACACAGACGCACGCAGAGTTACCCACACAGTCGGGGTGTCTGTCCACAGATGAATCAATTCCTTCCTTTCTGTCAAAGAGAGTGGCTGGCAGGTTTGAACTGAAGCCAGAGGAACTGAGGCAGGACCAAAGGGAGGACTTGCAGCCAGCGGGACGGCTGGCCCTGAACAGGGCCGTGGGGGCTCGGTGTCCACAGGCCTGGTGGCTGCTCTGGAGCTTATTGCCTTTGAGACCGTGGGGGCAGGTCAGGGAGCGTGTCCACCCTGTGACCCTCAATTCCCTCGGCCGTAAGACGCCTGTCGGGCCTCGTCCCAGAGGGAAGGGTGCGTGGGCCACAGTGTTCAGGAGTGTCGTCTGTCGTCCCTGGAGGCCTTCCTCCTCCACAGTACTCCGCTCCGCCGAGCCCTCTCTGTGCCCGCCGCCCGCCCCGTGCAGGCCTCCCCGTCGCTCCCCGCTGCGGCGAGGGCGCCCTGGACCCGTCGGGCCATCGCTTAGGTGGGTGCGCTGGATCACGTCGTTTCTGAACAGGTGGCGTGAATAAGGAGGACGGGCCCCGGGGTGCAGGCTCGCAGCTGGGCAGTGGGGTGGGGTCCCCTCACCTGCCTCCTCTCTCCATAGCACAGGCTGCCATGGGCTCCGTGGGCAGCCAGCGCCTCAGGGAGCCCAGTCTGACGGGCCCACCGGACAGGAGCATGGTGACGAGCTTCAGCTTCGACAGCTGCCAGCTGGAGGAGGTGGCCGCAGCGGTGGCGGGAGCAGGTCGCGACCAGGGTGCCCCGATTTTCAGCGACTCCGGTGAGTGAGGGTGCGAGCGAGGTCTGGGTCTGGCCCAATGCAGAGACCGGCCAGGTGAGCCATGCGGGAACCGTGGGGAGGCGAGCCGTGGGCGGCCGTTGATCACTGGGGGCGGCGTGTGTCGGCTGGGTGACAGACGAGCCCACCGTCTCAGCAGGTGGCCTAATGCGCGAGTCCCGAGCGGGTCACCGAGCCAGGCCTTCTCTGAACATGGGCTTCCATGAGCCATAGGCCAGTGGAAGGGCACACGGTGACCTGTGCAACTGACTTCTATCCAAAGTGACGCGGGTGGCTTGGGTCACATCCGTTAACCGGAGCAAGCCATGCCTCGCTTCAGTGGAGATGGGACAGTGCCTGAAAGGCGGAGGGCTGATGTGGCGTTCTAAGGCCTGGTTTTCGGCCCGGCCGTGTGACCTCAGGCCAGGGCCTCAGTTTCTCCACCTCGAGGAAGTAGGCCGGTGGCCTGGGAGATCGGACCTGCGGAGCGGGCAGCGTGCGGGGCCGGAGTCGGGCAGATTCGGGTTCATCCTCGGCTCCCACTCCTCTGCCTGCTCGGGGACCGCAGTTCTCTGGGTTTGGGTCACGTTGTCTGTAAAGGGGACGGTCCTGGTGCCACCCCAGTGTGCTGCAGCAGGACCCAGCAAACGGAGCTCAGGCCGTCCCCGGCACTCGAGGGCCCCCCGTGAGAGTCAGCTCACTCTGGGGTGGCTCGGGTTTGTACCAGCACCACGTCCAGACATGGAGGCTCCGTCCCCTCTCTTTGCTGACAGGAGGTGGAGGCTCTGCCGGCCAAGCCGAGGGTGGGTCGAGCTAACCTCCCGGCCCCCCGTGCACGGACAGAGCCAGTCCCAGACCCGTCCTGCGGCGCCCGACTTCTAGGGAGGTGTGGCAGTAGAGATCGTGGGACAGTGTCCCAACAGCCATGCTGTAGAAGCGGATGGTGGCCATGGTGATTTTAACTGTAGTGGCCTTGGTGGCTGCATCAGTCAGGGTTCAGTCAGAGACACGGCCAGCAGGAGATACATAGGCAGATAGTACACAGACGGGCGGTGTAGATATGGTGCAGCTACAGATACACACGGATCCGTGTGGGTTTATTACGGACGCTGGCTCACGAGGGTGGAGGGTGACAAAGCCAGCGTGAAGCTCATGAGCTGGTGGTCAGGAGGGAAGGTCACACACAGGCTGGAGCCCCACGGGCATGATTCTGATGACAGGGGCAGCTGTGGCCGTGGAGGTGGACGGCGGCCATGGCGATGGTGGCCATGATGCTGGTGGTGGTCGTAGTGGCAGCCACCGTGGTTATAGCGGCTACGGAAATGAAGGCAGTGGCTCTGATGGTGATAATGGCCGAGATGCGGTGACATTGGCGACCACAGCTGTGGGGACAGATGGAGCCAGAGTGGTGACAGGTAACAGTGACAGTGGCCATGGTGACGACGGACCACGGATATGGTGACACGGGTCGTGATGGTGGGTGCTATGGTGACAGCAGCCATGATGTTTGGTGACTTTCGATGATGGCTTTGGTGGTTTGGCTGTGGTGCCAGGGGCTGTGGTGCCGGTGGCCACGGTGGTGGACTGCAGCCCTTGCGTGGCGGCTGGCCATGAGCGGGCTTGTCCGCCTCTCACCTGGTGTCGTGGGTACAGCGGCAGGGGAGCCGGTACCCGATGACCGCTACCACGCCGTCTACTTTGCGATGCTGCTGGCCGGCGTGGGCTTCCTGCTGCCATACAACAGCTTCATCACTGACGTGGACTATCTGCATCACAAGTTCCCAGGTGGGTCCCCCCGCCACACTCCGCCGTCGGAGCCTGCCCGCACGCTCAGCTCCGGCCGCCGCCCGCCAGAAACCCCGCGGGCAGGACCCTGCTCTGGGGAGCCCGTTTCGTTCAGATCCCGGCTCAGCTCTGAGCTGCTGAGTGTCCTCAGGGCCGTCACTCACCTTCTCTGGGCCATCGGCCCATTTGGGGCGTAGTGAGGAGGCAGCGCCCGGCGGGATGGGTAGAGGGCTGGGGCTCCCCTGAGTGCTTGCCACTGCTGGCCCCCCGCAGGGACCTCGATCGTGTTTGACATGAGCCTCACCTACATCCTGGTGGCTCTGGTGGCCGTGCTTCTGAACAACGCGCTGGTGGAGAGGCTGAGCCTGCACAGCAGGATCACCGCAGGTATGCGGCCCCCCGGCCCCCGGCCGCGCCGCCCCCGCTTCCCTGCACCTCGGTCCCCTGGGCCCTAAAATGGGGACGCCTCCTAGGAATGTTATGGGGTTCGGTGTGGAAATAGGGTCCCCTCTGGCCTCTCCCGCCACAGGCTACCTCTTGGCCTTGGGCCCCCTCCTCTTCATCAGCGTCTGTGACGTGTGGCTGCAGCTCTTCTCTCGGGAACAGGCTTACGCCGTCAACCTGGCCGCTGTCGGCACCGTGGCCTTCGGCTGCACAGGTAGGGACCGGGGGAGGGGGCGGGGGGCAGGCCGAGCCCCCGAGTACCCCCTGTGCCTGTCCCACCCCAGCCCCATTCGCGTGCCTGGGGCGTATCACAGGAGGTGAGCAGGGCTTGGCACCTTCCCCGCTCATCCCCATGGCGACGTCCAGTTTCAAGGCCCAGGAAGCATTCCTCATAAATGAAATCAAGGTTTCCTGGAATAACATCCTCAGTCCGCTCACGGTCCTCAGGTCTGTTCTGTTTTGTTAAAAGACACACACTGGGACCAGGCCCCCCCGATTGCCAGCACGTAGGCAGGGACTTCCTTGGCCATGTGCTGTCCCCGGACACACCTGTGCTGGTCAAGGCGGGAGACGTTATGCTGTAGTAACAAATGAGCCCGGAAATCTCAGTGGCTTCAAAACACGAGACTTATTTCTGGCTCTTGCTTCGTGTCCGGCACGTCAGCGGGTCCACGCAGCCACTCGGGGTCTCGGGCTGACACGTGGCCTCTCCTGTCACCACATCTGGGTGAAAGGGCTGGAGGTCCCCGTGGGCTTTTCTCTGCCTCATCTAGAAGTGACACGTGTCATTTTTGCTCGTGTTTCATTGGCTGGAACTGGTCAAGGCCCCCGGCTGGCCCCAAGGCGGGCGCGTGGGAGGCCGCACTGCTCCATGTGGCGGGCGGCGCTGTCTCCACCCTGCCCTGCAGGGCGGTTGGACCCAAGCCCTCTGCTCCTGGTGGTGGTGACGTCTGTTCCCCACGGCCTCCCCAACACTGTGTCCTCACACTTTGGAATTCTTTGCCAAGCGGACAGGTGATAAGGGGTGTCTCACGGTTTCTCTCTCTCTCTTTCTCTCAAGTGCAGCAATCCAGCTTCTACGGGTACACGGGGATGCTGCCCAAGAGGTACACCCAGGGGGTGATGACCGGGGAGAGTGAGTATCTGCAGACGCCCGGGGGTGGGGGTACCGGGCCGCCTGGGTTCTAGAAGCTTCTTCCTGGGGAACCCCCACGACGAAGCTCTGGGCCTATCTGGCTGGGGCTGGCGACCTTTGCGATGTGAGAAGCACGTGCCTCTGAGCCCCGGTCTGCACCATACTGGGGGGCCCTGCACCTGCACGTGGTGTGCATTTTGTATGTCTGTGTGTGTAGGGGGGCGAGCCTACCCGTACCCATGACAACAGTGTCACACCTTGTCACCAAGCTCCCCTTGGAGCATCAGCCATAGGAGCCAAGCTTGCTTGGCACCCTCACTTGACTTCTCAAATTCACTTTCCCAAGGCCACCCCCATCTCCCACCTGCCCCTGCTCAGAGCACGGCACTTGTGTTAAACCCCAAACTCGTCCAGCAGCCTGGGACTGGTCCTGCAGGCCGATTGCTTTGCGCCAGCCCCTGCTCCAGGGGGCCGGCTCCCCCTTCTTCCCTGTCCCGCCTCTGCCCAGGGGCGGTACCAGCCCCACGCATCGGGGCCCCACTCTGCGAAGCACCTGCATCTAGGTGGCCTCAGTGTCTCCTCCGGGCCGGAACAGGAAGCAGCCTGCCTCCTTCAAGCTGCTCAAACACGAGCACACAGAGCCCCTGCCTGCCCCTGCCAGGACACTCGACACGTCCCCCGGTCTCCGCTGCCCCGGCCGCCACGCACTGTGGCTGGTGTTTTCCTGACTCGTTTGCATACTGTCCCCACCGAGCCCCAGGAAGGTGGGGCCCATGTCACTTGCGCCCACGGTGTCCTGAGGCACTTAAACGCTCCCGGAGGTGTGTGAGCAGCGGCAGTGCGGGGTGGGCAGGGTGCTGGGCCCATCCTGCGGCAGCACGTTGCGGTCTGGCCGGGCGGGGGGCGCTCAGGCTGGGCGGGCGCCCCAGGCCCTCGTCCCGCCCCCACAGGCACGGCAGGCGTGATGGTCTCCCTGAGCCGCATCCTCACCAAGCTGCTGCTGCCCGACGAGCTGGCCAGCACGCTCATCTTCTTCCTGGTCTCCGCCGGCCTCGAGCTGCTGTGCTTCCTGCTGCACCTGCTGGTCCGGCGCAGCCGCTTCGTGCTCCACCACACCGTGCGGCCGCGCGACAGCCGCCGGGCCCCCGGGGCCGGCTACCGCGTGCACCACGACGTCGCCGCCGGGGACGTCTGCTTCGTAAGGTTCCCCCCGCCTCCCGCTGCCCATGCGCCATCACTACGTTGGGGAAGGAGACAGACACAGCCCCTCCCCAGTCCTGATGGAGCTCCCCCTAAGTGGCTGGCCCCCCTCGGGCTGTAGTCTCAGCCTCCTTCCCATGGGGCTGTCTTCATTATGTAGACCAAGGTTTCATGCCTTCCGCCGGGGACGTCTGCTTCGTAAGGTTCCCCCCGCCTCCCGCTGCCCATGCGCCATCACTACGTTGGGGAAGGAGACAGACACAGCCCCTCCCCAGTCCTGATGGAGCTCCCCCTAAGTGGCTGGCCCCCCTCGGGCTGTAGTCTCAGCCTCCTTCCCATGGGGCCGTCTTCATTATGTAGACCAAGGTTTCACGGTAGCACGTCTGTGGCCTGAGCCCCACTGGCTGTGGCCTGAGCCCCACCAGCAAGTCCTCCTGGTGCCGTCATGGGGAGCTGGGCGCCCTCTGGTGGTGGCAGGCGGCAAAGCCCCCAGAGAGCCCGGGTTAAGGCTCAGGAGAGCAGGGCCATGAGGAGGGCAGGGCAGGGGGAGCCAGGACATTGTCACAGGTGTTGGTCCAGCAAGTCACCCAGGCTCTTGGCTGGTGACACTGCAATGAGCCAGAGACACCATCCCCCTTAGAGCCCAAAGACCCGGAGATGGGCAAAGGGTAGTGTGCCATGACGAGGCCCACACTGGGGAAGGACGGCAGCTGGGGCCCCCGAATGGTCAGGGAGGTTCCTGAGGAGCGGCTCCTGGGTTGAGACCTGGCCTGTGAGGTGGAGGAAGGTGACGACCCATGGGAAAGGCACTGGGAACCGGGAAGAGCTGCAGAGGCTGCGGCTGGGAGGAGCATAGTGTTCGAGGGAGACTGAGGTGGCCAGGGCGGGCAGGGGCCGTGAGCCGTGAGGAGCCCCCACCTGAACCCCGTCCCGCTCCATTCTGCCTCCAGGAGAACCAAGGCTCAGCCCTGGCCGACAGCGGGTCCCCGAGGGACAGCCCGGCCCACGAGGTGGTCATCAGCGGCAGGGGAGCCTACACGCGCTTTGATGCACCTCGACCCAGAGCCCCGTGGAGCTGGTCCTCCTTCCGAGGTAGGGGTGGGCCCCAGGCTCACAGCGGGCGGCCCTCCAGCCCCCTGGGCCACAGTCCTCCCGTCTGCATACGTAGGGGGCGCTCAGGCTGGCAGTGGACGGGGGCCGTGGCGTGCGGCCCCTGACCCCCAGCCCGCCCCCACAGCCCTCCTGCTGCACCGCTATGCGGTGGCCCGTGTCATCTGGGCCGACATGCTGTCCATCGCTGTGACCTACTTCATCACGCTGTGCCTGTTCCCGGGCCTGGAGTCTGAGATCCGGCACTGCGTCCTCGGCGAGTGGCTGCCCATCCTCGCCATGGCCGTGTTCAACCTCTCTGACTTTGTGGGCAAGGTGGGCCACCCACCCCGCCCCAGGGCGGGGAGGAGAGGATGCCATAGTAGGGCAGCAGACCTCCAAGGCCACCGTGGGAGCCATGGGTGGTCCCTGGCTCCCTGCATGTGGCTCCTGAGTGCAGAGAGCGGAAGCCAGCGTGGCACTGTCCCCAGACCATGGCCACTGAGGGTGGCCCTGATGGACCCCAGGCCAGCCCTGGAGTGTCAGCTGTGTCCAAGGGGCCGGTGCTGGCTCCCACCTTCCCACCCTGTACTCACTAGTTAACAGGTCTCCGACAGGTGCACACACCGGAAGTTTCCCAAAGGGGCAGGGGCCCTGGGGAAATGGTTCGAGGGGCCAGAAGAATCCCGGCCACACATCATGTGCTCTGAGCGCAGGGCA